CTTGAATGGAACTTGATTTTCAGTGTAACTGTAGTTAGACAAGTTTTTTGTAGAATGATAAATGCTTAGTGAGATTCAACGTCAAAAAAAAGTTTGCACGACGCCGATTGAGAATGTCACAATGAAGCTTCATAATAATACTTTCTCTTCTGATGCCGGATTGAATCAGCGTAATGGCACGTTCCCTGGCTTCTAGTCGTCTAGGGGACCATTTAAGCAGGCCACGGCTCCATGGTATTTGAGCACCTGCATTGTATGGATGCAAAGCTGCATCACTAGGCAAGGCCAAACAAAGGCTTGTTCGGACACCTGCAAATATGTCACGATCCGTACGCATATTTATGCGTATTACTGCCCTGCCATGAGTGGCAATGAATGGCCCCCTAGGCGACTAGAAGCAAAGGGCCGTACCATTACGCTGCTTCAATCTGATATCAAATGAGAAAGTGTTGCATCGCTTAGCAACGGTATCGATAGTAGCTGACAGTATATTAGTAAACAAAATCAGGTTTATTTTTGTCTATGAAACTTCACCATCGCCTAGGAAACGAGGGCTTATTCCATACACATTGGAACTAGCAGCTTTAATGCAATATCAGCGAGAGCACTTATTTTCACAGCTCAATAATACTCTTCTTTCCTAGAACAGTTCGGTCGAGTAGATGAAAGTCACTGCTAATCGCTTAGGGATGAAATAATAACTATTACAACCAACTTTCTCTGGCATATCGGCTCATTAGTCATGCCACATGTCCACAAACGTGGAATACTCGATATCTTGTATTAGATCATTAATGCTGCGACACCCTACTAAATTCTCTTTGTCTGTAGTTGTATAATGGAACGTACCATTTTTGTCTACATGACTCAGCATCAAGGATGCATCCAGATTACCGCATAGATAAATCTCAATCTGCAACTGCAAAACTACGCTGCTAAATAAGAACTACGCGTATGGTCATTCTCGATCCAGGGCAATGCACCTGAAGTATCGATCATCTTATGTACGATCCGTTGCTGCAAACGTTGAAGAATAGTCATTTGAGTGCAATTCTTAAAATAGAAATCAGCAGTGCTTCGAGTAATAAAATTGTCGCATTTGGTAAGGTTGTATAAGAAAGAAAACAGGTGTATTCAAGTAAACAGTAAATATCGAATTGGATGAAATATGATTGTGAGAAATGAACAAATTTAGAAGAAACTTTGGCAAAATTGAGAATTAATAGAACAGGATATGATCTAGGATATTTCAGCACAGTTGAGCACCGTAGTAGTACAAAATGTTGTCAAAACTTCATCAGTGCGCAAAATGTGTAATGTAACCATCCAGGATCCAAGTGGCCTTCTCAGCTGCTCGAGCGGCAGTTACTGATATCTCTGAGAGCTTCGACAATTTTCTATGCAAGAGTTATAATTACTATGAACGTGCAGCAACTATATATACGCAAGCATCAGACGGACTGACACTGAATGCCGCTCTTCAATGTCTTCAGCGGCAACGGCATGTCAATCAGCAACGAGTTGAATCAAAGGGATGACCATTTATGAATTCAGCAGACAATGTGAGTCGCGGAATTTTGGCTGCTGCACCAAATCAATCAATGCAAGGTTCTCTCAGTTCTTTTGACCAGTCCTATTAGATCGTTAATGGCCGTCAGTGATGGTATCACACTGCAGTAACTGTTTGTTAGCAATTCAGTGACGCTCCTACATTGCATATGCATTACAGCGTTGTTGGAAGCCGCCGAAATGAAATTTATTAAGTTTCAGAACGTTAAATGTTCTGACTGTTTCGAGATCACGACTTTGGTGCCGGCCAATACTCTTTTACTAGACTTATTGCAGCTTGCAAAACTTGCCAACGCCAATCCAACTGGTCTCACTCATTACTCCTTCAAAATGCTTGAAACAGTTCATACTGTCATGGCACTCTCTTGGTGTCTCTTGACGTTGAGTTATCAAATTTCCACTAAACATAAATACTTTCAGTCATCAGTGTTCACTGAGTAGTACAAATTACCACCTAAGAATTTCCTACATATCAGTTGGGCGATCTTGCTTGCCATTTCGCTAATCAGAGAAAGGTTCCATTTACGCCTACAATGAAAGTGACTTTATTCCCAGACTGAAACGCAAAATTAGCGTTTGCTTTTATCTACAGCAAGCTTGTCAACGATTCACTTGCCCAAAATCTCGAAACCTCATGAGCAACTACAACAAAAAATTAGCAAATAAATGGAATCGATCACAAACATTAGTCCTCGAGCCAATCAAAACCACAGCTTGAACAAAATGGTAAATCCTCAGTTCATGTGCTAATACGCTACCTTGTAGTGGTCGTTAATGGCAAGATACGGCGCCTGATCACACGGTTTACGTCATCAACAAGGCTAGTAACTTCCACTTTCGCCTTTAACCTCTGCTTAGAACTCCATTTGTTTAGTGCTGGAAGTTTACAAGTTGAAGTATAATGCCAATTATCATTTATGCCTCTCAAGTCTTAACAAGTGATTTTGCACTCCTGCGATGATGTATTTGGGAATTACGATACCTTGAGGATTGCAATGCAATCTAACCGATGTAACGACCGCACAGATTTTGACAGTTTCTTACAATGAAAGGATGGTGCATTATTACACCCACTTCATACAGATTCAGCAACCTGCTGCTTTCAAAGCATCTCTACACGAAACTTCACCATCCCCAAAACAAGAGCCGAGCTGTACAAAACCTTTGGAAATACAATATATTCGCATAAACCATCATGTTTTAAGGTGTCGTCTCCTGCAATCAGTAGGTATTTCGTCATAATTGTTTTGCTATTGTATGCTGCCTATAAAAAGGTGCTGAAACCAAAAATAAACATCTTTCTGCATAAAACTAATAAATATTGAATATCGATCATGTGACTGCCAGATCATAATTAGTTTGCTGCTCATTACAATCACCCTTCATCAAATCTCATGCACTGAACACATGCAATCAGAATCCACGGCACATATTTATCATTTGCAACTCAACATAACCAGAAAGACTAGAGTGTTGTTCCATGGATATTACTGTTCTGCCGTGACTTTCCTCACGTTGTCCCTTACAACAAACGCAATACTTTCTTTGCAAAAGCTGTGCATACGACTTAACACTGTGACATAAAATTTGCCCGAAAATACTTACTGAAACGTTCTAGTATATAACTAAGCAAAATGAGTTGGAAAAATGCAGTTCTATCGAACAGTCGCACACAACCACCTCTGCAGTAATCACATATAGCCTACTTTTTCGTCGCGTAAGTGCAACTGCAGGAAGCACATTTTCGTCGATAGCATCTTAATACATTCTGACACTAAGATATTAGTCGTTTCTAATCATATTTCCATTTAGCGAATGAACGAATTCACTGGAAATGAAACTCTCCGCTTCAAAAGAAAGATTCATGAACAAAAAGCACATCCGTCCAAATTTTATTTCTGAAACCTAAATCAGAGCAAAGGATCGGGAAATTCAAAGGTTACATCTTTTCCGGTAAGATGCTTGTAAACGCCGGTAAACGTATCAACCTAAAGCAAAATATCACTAAGCCCAAAAATGCAGTTAAGTGATAAGATTTACACAAGACTGACTTCCACTAAACTCAAATCTTTCTAACTTTCTGTACTATGAACAATGACATAACGCAATAATAGAACCATTTTCGTACCTTGTGTTCGACATTTGTCATTTGTGTCTTATCTAAATGAACTTTTATTAGGCGGCGGCCATCCAAGTGTATCCGGATTCTTTTGCCGACTATTTCTGCTGGATAAACAAGATCGCTGAGTATTGCATCGTGTACTGATGTCAGGGTTCGACTAAAATACTAAACTAACTGACAAAAGACTATAGTATCCAAGCAAACTGGATATAAAAATTTGTCTAAATGAAATGAACGTTACAAAAGATCTGATATAAAAAGAACACCGGAACAGACATTAAAAGTTTTCAAAAACAGCAAAAAACCATTACAGCATGAAAAACGAAAGGAATCAGAATGCTGCCATTACTTATCAAACGTGATTAAAAGGTGGGATATTTGAGCCGTCAGATTTGCATTTCATGAATTTCGCGTTATTTTTCGTTTGAATCACGGGGGATTATATAGATTAGGGCAAACTACAAGTGAATGATCTATCACTCGGGTAGGATGAGACGTTGGTGCTGCCCGCCAGTCGCTAGTAATATATTTCTGAGACAAAAACCTTACAGAGCACTATACTTCTGAATCCTGTGGCTCGATGAACGCTGGGGAAACTTTCGCAACAACTTACGAGGGTTGGCACCCTAAATAAACTGTCTCACAATTACCCGCCCAAAAACGCTTAAGGCTGAAGGCAAACCGAGAAAATAGATGAAGGCCACCACGTCAGCCTCAACAAGTACGACCTCGGTAAGGCACAGGAAGCGATTGTTAAAACACCGGGAACGTCAACAAGGTTTTCGTGGCTAAGCCATCATGCAAGGACGCCATCGACAGACGCATTTACAGCAGTCCACATCACTGAAACGGAGCAAATTAAGGTGGACGTTACTGGAATAAGCAAAACCCGAAGATCCATTGAACTTGTTGCGCACTGCACGAGTTCATCAGAAAGGCCTTTGAGAACGGAGCTCGAACCGCGCCGTTGGGTTTATAATGAAAAAAAAACGACGTACAATTTGTGCTGACCTGTAATAATATCATCTCATATAGCAATTCTATTTCTACGGATGGACAAAAGAAAAATAAAAATCGTTCAGGCTTAAAGCCGAATCCAACAAGCTGACGAAGGATATCGAGCAACTCTATGAGAAATTTAAAGACGCAACGAAACGACGCCGACGGACATGATTGTCAAAGAAAACTTCAACAAAATGCTCTGGAAATAGATGAACGACGCAGAGAACTTTACCGGAAGCACGAAATTGGCGAAAAAATGAACGTAGAGACCGCTTCGCAACTTTCGCTGAAAGCAACGACCTCCATGCCATGAAAACCATTTTCCAGAAAGCTCCAAAATGGCTGGACAGGAAGAAGCCCTGAACGGAAAATCTCTGAACCAAATCGACTATGCACTGACGGACAAGAAATGAATAATATGTCGGTCATAAGCAAGAACATTATCTGTACAAGGACAGATCACAGGCTTTCACAGTTACGATCGACGTCCGAAAATAGGAGCGGATCAAAAGAGTCCAAAGATCACCATTTTGTGGAGAGCTGCGTTTCGATCCAGAGACTTTCACTGATAAGCTGCCATTAATGAACCTTGAAGTGAACGAGGGCATAGATGCGGATTATGACAAACCTGTCAACACCATCAAGAGTGACGTTAGAACAACCAACCGAACAGCAAAGTCA